TCTGTAAACTTAGAGGTTTACTATTTTTACTATTTTTCTCCAGCTTAATTGAGGTATAATTGGACAAATAAAAATTGCATATATTTAGGGTACACAACACGATGTTTTGATATATGTATACATTGTGAAATCATTACCACTATCAAACTAATGAACACATCTATCACCTCATACCTTTCACCTTTTTCTTGTGTGTGGTGAGAATACTTAAGATCAACTCTTACTAAATTTCAAGTATACAATGGAGTATTATTAACTATAGTTACCATGCTGTTCACTAGATCTTTGGAACTTATTCATGGAGGTTTACTCATATATGACTCAAGATAGCTCAACTAAAGGGGACTTGTTTAAAAGTGGGGAGAGGAGGGAGACAGTAACACCTCTTCTTCTACCCGTCAGAGTCTCAGGTAGCACCATTCTCTGTTTCTTTGTTCTCTTCCTTTCCTCTCTGCAGACAAGGCTATCTCTGCTTACTCCTCTGCTTGCTTGTGGATGAAAATGGCCACATCACACCTGATTTGACAATATCCTTTAAGTTCACGTCTCAACAAGCGTGTGAGCCTGGTGTTTATGTCTCTTATTTCCAATTCTCCAGAAAGAGAATGCCAGAATATTAATTGGTTCCTCATATCAATCAGCCAGAGTCAATTTGTTATTAAAACAGAGCCAAGAAACCGCCTCTTTTGGTAGAGATTGTGCGTGGAAAGTAATTCCAAATAATGGATCGTGGGTGAGGCAGGCGTGGCCAAATATTTTGTATCTAAACTGTAATGTTTAAATATAAAAGATAGATCACATATTTTATAACTATCTTTAGCTTAATATTTTGCCAACGTATTTCCTTGTCAAGATAATTATGCCTCATCATTTTTCATGACAGTGTAGTATCCATTGTATGTACCTACCTCAGTTGGCTCAACCAATTGCTATTGCTGGATATTCTTTCATCCAGGTATTTGCCAATATATTCAATGTTCTTATGAACAACCATCATAAATATTTGTGCCTAGCCTTAATTATTTTTTAGGGCAAATTATCATGTTTTAAACTTTTATTTTAGGTTTGGGGTACAGGTGCAGATTTGCTATATAGGTAAACTTGTGTCACAGGGGTTTGTTGTACAGATTATGTCATTATCCAGGTATTAAGCCTAGTACCTAATAGTTATTTTTTCTGTTCTTCTCCCTCTTAACACCTTTCACCCTCAAGTAGACCCCAGTGTCTGTTTTCCCTTCTTTGTGTTCATGAGTTCTCATTTAGCTCTCATAAAAAAGAACAGGATCATGTCTTTTGTGGGAACATGGATGAAGCTGGAGTCTATTACGCTTAGCTAACTAGTGCAGGAACAGAAAACCAAGTATCACATATTCTCACTTATAAGTATGGTAAATTATTAAAAGCAAAATTGCTAGGTTGAGAAGTATGAGCAATTTTAAGGCTTTAGAAATACACACCCCAATTTTCTTCTGGAAAAGCTGCACCAGTTCATAGTCCCACCAGCCATGTGGTAAAGTGCCTGCCTTTCCACACCCTCACCAGCACTGGGGATTATTCTCTTATCTTTGCCAGTTTGATAGGCAAAAACTGAGCTCATTGTTCTTTTAATTTGTATTCTTACTGAGGTGGAACAATTTTTCATATATTCATTGGCCTTTCATATTTCTTATTTTGTGACACACTTATTTTTAAAACTCAACTGTACTTTATACAAGGGGAAAAAATGACTTCAACAGCCGTGATTAGTTGTCTGCTTGATTCTTGCCCTAATTGCACCTTGCGTCTTCTTTTATTTCATTATCCTCACCTAAAAATAAACCAGCGTCACGTTGTTCTCCTTAGGATAGCATTATTCGAGTCATAAAGTAATATGTAAAAGTAAGCCTTTAGTTTATTACATGTTATTGTCCTATCAACCCTTTAGGGAGATGCTCTGGGAGAGATGAATTGATCTTCCAAGCCATGTGATAAAATGTCTGAGACCGAAATACCCAGGAGGGTTGAAATGGTGGGATTGAGGTGAAGAGAGAATGTGGGAGACACTGAATTCATCTACTTTCAAGGCAGTTTGGAATCCTGATCTCTAAGGAAGGGGAGGGAAATCTTTATGGAAAGGTGACTTTTTCTTTTTAATCCCACTTTACAGTCAATACGTCTCCTATTAAAGTTGATGGGTGGGTAATATTGAGTCTCCTCACAATTACTTCCCAAGACCTTGAAATGATTCAGGACAGAAGACTCCTAAGATAGCAGGCTGAGGAGAGGAGGTTCATTGAAAATCACAGGCCATGACATTTTGAGGAGTGCAGGATGGTAGGGCTTGGTTACATTAGTCAGAGATGTCCTTATCTGCAGCAGTCAGTGGCCTCCGTGGTTTGATTCAACGGAGTTTCCCAAGCTTCCCTCATGATAAAAGTTGCCAGATGCATGGACTAAAAGTAGACATTCTCAGGCCCCATCCCACACTCACTGATTCAGACTCTCTAGGCAAGGGTCTGATGAATCTATCATCAGGAAGTGTGGAAAATACAACTTAGAGTCTGAGGCAAGGCCCCTAGTAAGATACAGCTTTTAGGATGGCTGTTCAGTCTGTGAGAGACCCACCAACCAAGCTCTCTCCCCATAGGTAGGGCCTTAACATTCATATGAATCGATATCATCCCCACATCTGGCCTTGAAGGGATTCGGACTGTATCAGTCAGTGTCTTTCTCTGCAAATTAGAAATGGTATTTAGAGACAGCCAGTCTATCTCTTAAACTTTGACATGGCATCTCAAAAGTGTGGACACCCTTATTCTGCCATGTAGTTGAAGAAGCAGTCAATGGTCTACAGGGAGAGGAGACAGAAGAATGAAATTCAGATTCCCCTTTTGCTTGAAGTAGCTTGGTATACTTTTAACAATTTGTACCCCTAGACCAAGACACTCTAATACTTTCAAAAATCACCTATACATTATGAAAATCTTTAAATTGAAGATCAATTGAGGTTAATAGGTCTTGTATTTTAAAATGCAAGTTCTTCTGGAAAGATTAAGGCTGTCAAACATTTATAATGTAGTGTAAACTACGTTAACTAGGTTACCGCAAACTGAGGGAATGGAGTGTTTGCTATTTGTAGGGAAAGGGTGGGGAACAGGTAATGAAGATGATTGGAGAGGGGCAGCCTAGGTAAAGAGTCACAGTAGAACTGTTAGAGACTAACACAGTAGGGCAGCATGAAGGCTGGATGTGGTCATCATACATTTTCTCTTTGCAATAGGCAATGTATAGGCTTTTCCAAGGCAGGCTGATCTGTCCACCACCTGTGATGTAGCATGGGTGTCAGATGATAATTAGGACCTATCAGATTAAGTTTTTATTGGTATAAACAATACCTGGTTAGGGTTCCTGAATCAAAGCTTGAAAACATGAATGGGTTATCTGAAGATAACTCAATGTGACCAGTAGAGTTGATTCAATGTTCACTCAACTGGTCAGTTCACTGCACAACTAATTGTGTTTAGCCTTTGCTCATTACACAAGGATGAGACAAATTCTTCTGTGGTTGAGAGCTGGCAGTGGTTCCCTAACTCCTAGGGGTGAGTGCATGTCTACTCTGAGTGTCCTGGTCTATTGTTTCCTTTTGTTCATGTTTCTAGGGCTTGCAGACTCCATTGGAAGTTATCTCAGCACTCCATTTTAATCCTAATTTCTAGACTTTCCAGTGGAGTTAGTAAGCTCTTAAAAGCTGGTTTCTGAAATTTCTTTTGCTTTCTGAACACTTAGTAAAAAGTACCACATTCTCAGTTCTTTTTGATTCCACTGCCTCTTGTTTTTCCCACTATTCACCTATGTATTATTTCGTGCGTAAAGTATGTGGGATGGGTGACTATTATCCCCCAGGAAGGCTTGCTGTTGAAGAGGGAAATCCTCTGGTCTCTCTAAGATTCTTCATATTGTTGTTCTTTAAAGGAAGCTTCAACCACTGAGAAGGGGCTGAAACCACTGCACAAGGAAGATGCTGGCAAACCTTTTAGGATCTGATGCACTCCTACCTTTAACTCTTTATCGCCACACTAATGATTCATTTTGTTGTTTTATGGGATTCCATTGCTTTGCCAGGGAGGTAACTTCAAATTTCACTCAAAGGTCCCCAGAAAGCTAAAAACGTAGGATTAGTGTAGACTGTTTGATGCAATTAAAATTTTTATCTCGGTGATACATTTAGAAAAGGAGTGTCTGTGGGCAAGTCCCGAAAGTCCAATCCTGAATCCCTGGCTGAATTCACAGGGGAAAACGCATTGCAAGAAGGGCATATCTGATCTCTTGAACCGAATGGACTCCAAGACTGCATTTGGCCTGAAAGTGACTGGCTGTGGCCACTAATGCTGGTTATTCAATGGTGGGCTGGGAAAACCTATGAAGATGATGCTTAGAAAATCCGAGCTTTCTTGACGTGGGGAACAACATAATGTACCATTTGCATATATAACAAACTCCTTTTTATTATCTTTTAAATAGGTGCTTAGGGACTTTGCACATATAACTCCAACTCTTACTAGGTCGGTGCTTTATTTCTCTTATTATGGCTGGGCAAACAGAAGAGTAAAGAGATGCAATGACTTGTCTGAGATCAGCAAGTAAGTAAAACAGGTAGCGCTAACCTGATTATCTCTTACTGCTCCTCTTGCCCAGCCAGCCTGCGTCACACACTGACTTCTGAGACAGCTGCCATCCATAGCTCTTTGGGGAAAGGAAATTTCAAGTGCAAATTACAGAAAAGGAAATTGTTTTACTCCAGCATTCTCTTAACATTTGATCCAAACCTGTGCTGTTGGACTGGCAGCACCCACATGATTTAATACAATCATGATTAAACTAACACTGAAGAAAAAGTATATGTACAGTATACTAACACTAATGCATATTTGGAGAGAAAACTGCAGATTCCGGATAAATCTACATGGATTTCCATCACATGAGCTACAATGACTGCTATTTGTTTCTGTCTGTCCATTCAGGAATTAAATTGAGTTCAAGCAGCTTGGAACAGCTTGATGGCTTCTTTCTGCCACAGAAGGTGCCGGGTGTCCTGCATCTAGACTCTGACATCCTATTGGTGAGGATAACAATATGCAACTGGTAACCCTGAGAGCTTTCAGCTCTTTTTAGGCCCTCCTACAGACTAATATATGTTGGGACTGGCAGTGCTGTTAGAAATGAAATAGAGCGAAGGCCGGGCGCGGTGGTTCACACCTGTAATCCCAGCACTTTGGGAGGCCGAGGTCAGGAGATCGAAACCATCCTGGCTAACATGGTGAATCCCCATCTCTGCTAAAAATACAAAAAATTAGCCAGGCGTGGTGGCAGGCACCTGTAGTCCCAGCTACTCGGGAGGCTGAGGCAGGAGAATGGTGTGAACCTGGGAGGCGGAGCTGGCAGTGTGCTGAGATTGCGCCACTGCACTCCAGCCTGGGCGACAGAGGGAGACTCCATCTCAAATAAATAAATAAATAAATAAAATTTAAAAAAATTAAATTTAATTAAAAAAAAAAAAAGAAATGAAACAGAGCGAAGAGCCTGCACTTTGGAGACAGATGGTCTTAGGTTCCAATTCTACCACTTAATAACATTGTGACTGAGAACTCCATGAACATTGTTTTTCAGGTGACAATTAAACAGCATATGATAGGTTGGTAATAATAATGATAATAGTAGCAATGATAATTATTAGAGCAGCTATCATTAAATGAGTGCTTGCTGTGCTAAGTGATCTCAAAATCGTTGTACTAAGGGAATCTTTTACTTTTTACGACAACCCTAGTAGATGGGTACTACTAATACATGTATACTTAACCAATGTCAGTTGCTTTATTCCTTGACTGAGCAAGTATTTACTGACTGCTGGTTACATGCAGACATTGTACTAAGTGCTGGGGATTCAACATCAGATAGGTTGTAATCCTTCTCTTAAGGAATTCTCATATTTTTAGGGGGATGGGGAAGAAGAGAAAAAAATATAGTATGACAAGGGCTAGCCACAGTATGATGGGAGAAAATGAGGAGAAGAATATAAAAGGGACTGGGAATCAGAGAAGGCTGAATCCTCAGGAATGTGTGGCCAGGAGGGTTACTGAAGTGCTAGAAGTCATGGGCTTCTGAGTTCAAGACCAGTGCCCTCTACTTCGGATGAGTAATGTTTCTAAGACAAGGCTTGAGGCAGCGTCTTCCCAAGGAAACGATTACTTTAAAAAGAATAATAGCAAACACACAATTCATTGTGTAAGATTTCAAATTCACAAAAATAGAATAGAATCATAGACCCCATCCACCCATCCCCTAGATTTGAAAATTAATCTACATTTTGACACACAAGCTAGGTGAGAGACACTTTTAATAAGATGATTCTGCAGCAAGCTCTACTGGTGATTCCAAAAGGACTGGATAGATTCTTCCATTTCTCCTTTTCCAGATGGTATTTTGTTCTGATAGACTCTTGCTTATATTCTAGGTCCACACAATTTCAAATTCTCCTTGTCGAAGTCTGCAATTGATAGACTTCCTCACCTCATTTGGGAAGGCACCCTTGGTTCTAACGGAAGTAAGTTGTGGGGCTGTGTTCCAACCTCTGTCACTGCTGGAGGAAAACAGTTCCACACGCTTCCTGGAGTAGCAGCCTCCTTGTAAACTGAAGAGAGTATTATTGTTGCTGTAATCAGGTTTGCATTCTGCATGTATGGGTTTTATTTAAATGCTGGCTTGGTGAACAATAACTCAATCATCACATTGCTAGTATAGTATGGGCATCTTTAACAAATGGATTGGACACAAAGGGCACCTTAGTTAAGATGCTGAACCATATCAGGTAACTGTTGTCACCCACATCTATTACTTGGCAATCATCTGGTGAATGGTAGACCTGATTGTAAAAATAGATTGGAATTTTGTCTGCTTTTCTCCTTTTTCTCTATTAGCCCACTCCCTGGAAAGGAGTCTGTTTTAGGCAGTATGCCCTGAGTGGCAATTCTGAAGGCAGGGAAAATTTTAAAAAATAAATAAAATAAAATAAAATAAAATAAAATAAAATAAAATAAAATAAGAGTGCTTAGACAAGTGATCCATGGACTTTAATTCGTGGTGCATATTTTTGGATTACAAAAGATTTGATCGAGCTTATGAAATAAGAGTAAGTCATTTCTGGAAAGAAAATCCTTTTTAGCATTCAGTAACGAGGCTGACTGAGGTTTACCAAAGTGAGAATAATGCTGTTTTTGTTAAAGAGGAAGTGCATAGGTACAGAGCAAAGCATTTTGGATTATTAGGAGTGGTATTCGGCAAGGCACTTCACACCTCTGAGCCTCACTTTCCTTACCTGAATCATCTGCAAGATGCTCTTAGTCGCTATTATTTTTATTTATTTATTTACTTATTTACTTACTTATTTATTTATTTTTGAGACAGGATCTCACTCTGTCGCTCAGGCTGGAGTACAATGGCATTATCATAGCTCGCTGCAACCTTGAACTCCCGGGCTCAAGTCATCCTCCCATCTCAGCCTCCCAAATATCTGGGATGACAGGCACGCGCTACCATGCCGGCTAATTTTTTTGTTTGTTTGTTTTTTGAGATGGAGTCTCACTCTGTCACCAGGTTGGAGTGCAGTGGCACGATCTTGGCTCACTGCAACCTCCGACTCCCTGGTTCAAGTGATTCTCCTGCTTCAGTCTCCTGAGTAGCTGGGATTACAGGCACGCACCACCACACCCAGCTAATTTTTGTATTTTTAGCAGAGATGGGGCTTCACCATGTTGGCCAGGATAGTCTCCATCTCCTGACCTCGTGATCTGCCCGCCTCGGCCTCCCAAAGTGCTAGGATTACAGGTGTGAGCCACCGTGCCCCGCTAATTTTTGTGTTTTTTGTGGAGACAGGGTTTCACCATATTGTCCAGGCTGGTTTTAACTCCTGAGCTCAAGTGATCCACCTACTTTGGCCTCCTAAAGTGCCGGGATTATAGTTGTGAGCCACCGCACCTGGCCAGTCTCTGCTATTTTGTGATATTAGAGAGTTTAATGCACTGTGGTGGTTGAAAGCAGTGTAGTGGCCTTTTGGTATTGATGAAACTGGGTTCCATGTCTGTGTTAGCTGCTAATTTGTTGTTTGATCTTGGGAAATGTCACTCAATCTTTACGTTCTCCATTTTCATCATCTGTAAAACTGGTACAATAGTAATAGCTGTAGCCCAGACTTGCTATAAAGATTAAATGTATTGTGCTTAGCACAGTGCTTAGTACATTTAAACTTTCAATAAATGAAAGCTATGATTATTATTACATATTCTTGTCCATTTCATACCATATTCTACTTAAATAATTAAAGAGCCAGGAATAAAAATAAAGCCCTCAACAGAATTTTACAAAAAAATTCAGCAAAACATGTCTTCAGCTAGCATGATTTTCACAAGTGCCCTGCTCTGATCAAGTGCTAGCATACATAAAGAAAGGAGGCACTATTAGATCCATGGCAAGTATATGGTTCATTTCCAATTTCATTCATTTAAACAACCAACCAGCATCACTGAATGCCTTCTAGGTTCTTGACATTCCATTAGCCTCCCAGGATGAAAAAGCAAATGCCACATTTTTCTTGCTATTATGAGGCATACAGTGGAGAGGGCAGAAGTAGACATAGCAATATTGTTGCATTACATTGTTTATCAGGTCTCTCTTACCTTGTGCTTTGTGGAAATCCTATCAGATCTGGAACTCAGAAGTCTGTGCCAGTTTTAAAGTTTGCCTTAAAGCCAGCTTTCTCTGTGATGGTATTTGGTTCCGATAGACCCTTGCTTATATTCTAGGTCCACACAATTTCAAATTCTCCTTGTTGAAGTCTGCAATTTGTAGAATTCTTCTCTGCTTAAAAAGAGTTTATTTGAAAGAAAATTGGAAACAAACTTGAGAAACGTAGATTTTTGTACAGTTACTTGAAGCAAGCGAGCAAACAAAGCAAGAAGAGGGGACAGGCTGTTTCCACTTCAAAAAATAATAAACATAGCTAACTTATACTGAGTACTCACTATGTGCCAGGCAGTGGTTTCACTAATCCTCACAACAGTCATGTTAAGTAGATTCTACTATTATCCCTGTTAAACTGGTGAGAAACCTGAGGGACAGGTAGACGGAGTAATTTGTTGGTCAGACAACTAGTAAATTGGGATTTGATCTCTTGCAATGTGATCCAGAACCAGGCTCATAATCAGTAGTTTCTGAATGACACAAGATACTTGTAATAGTTTTCTATTGTTTTATAAAATATTGAACTCAAGAAAATTAAATCCCAGCAGGTTGCAAATATAATTCAAACTTTTATTAAATGTCAGTATATTGTATCCTTGGATGCGTTTTGCTCCTGGGCAATTATCCAGGTTTGGAGCACATATTTAAGCATTTGCCGCTGTGATTATTGCATTGACTTATGGTGGCAAATCAGATTACACAGTGTGGAGAATTAAATTACTGACACACACTTTTGGGAGGACACCTTTTGATTTTGGTGCGTGAATTCAAATGTTACCTCATAACCAGCAGGGCTTCTCCCCAGCCTGAGTATTTCCTTTGAACTACCTGCTCTATTGAAAAAGTTGTCATCCAACTTGGAACCTGTGAGTTCCAAAAGGGAAATAAAGATCTTCTTCTGTCTGTTTTACTCTACTGTACTAGAAATAATCATTTTGTAAGTCTGTGAGTCCTCCAAGAGGCATCCACATTACTTACTTCTTGTACCTTAAAATGATCCCAACCACATGTCCTCCTCAGTTACAAAATCCATCCTGGCAGGAAGTATTATATAGTCGCCTTACCTCTGGAATTTGTTCACGCTTCCAGCCTGGGTGTCCAGTGACGAGGTCCCTGAGCACTTCCTCAGTGTCAGGCCTTCATCGCCCAGTGCTACCCAGTAACCTGCTTCCTGACACTAAAATTGAGTCTGCCATAAGAATCCCTTGCCACTGTGGTCCTCTCTTTGGGAAGAAGCTTCATGTATCTACTCTCAATTAGGCCTGACTTGACTATGTCCTTGTAGGAGTATGCTATAAGACTGAGTCTGACTCCTTCTGTTTCCAG